GAATTATAGATTTATAAAGCCTATATCTTAAAATTCTAAACCCTAAAAAATGTTTTGACACCTAAAATCTCCTAAACACTCAAAACTAAACCCTAATAGAACATAATTAACCCAAACATAAATAATATAAAAAAAAAATAATTTTGAAAAAGTGGCATTTTTGTAAAGATTTCAAAAGTGTAGTATTTTTGTAAAGTGGCACTTGAAAAATGACATTTTTTGAAATTTCTCTAAATGCTTTTGCGATACTGGTCACCATGCTTATTTACTTTGTTTTCTCAAAAACAAATTATGGATAGCATGTATATATACAGGAATCTATTTAAGAACTTATATAAAATTTTCTGAAAATTTACAAACGATTTTGAAAGCTTGCAAATTTTCTGAAATATAAACTTGAGGAAATTTGGAAAAATACCATTTTTGTTTTTAAATTTGAAAAATATATCTTTATTTTAAATTTTTGGAAAACCTACACTTTAAGAATATCAAATTTACGTAAATAACCTCAATAAAAATGTATAATAATTTGTATATCTTACATATTTATAAAAAGAAAAATTATTTTTGTGATGATAATACTAACTATTATAGTAATCTCAACTTTTCTTCTGTCAATATATATTTATCCTAGATTTTGATGCTGTAAAATGTTTTGTATCTTTATTTTGATAAACCAAAAGAGTTAAAAGACTAAACCAAATTTATGGTTAAGACTATGGAATTGCGATAAAAAAAATTGAAAAACTGATTGATTTAGAAATATAAATTGATTTGGAATTTATTGAAAGTTCTGTTGTCTTCTCCTTAGCAATATCGTGAATGTTTTCTTTACTTTCTTAAATCGCCGATCAATTTCGTCAATCCAATTTTTTGTCATCATATTTACTATCATTTAAATTTATAATCGTATTTATCATTAATGTCGTATCCAATATAATGTTTACTCGTCATTGTCATATATATTTATTTATTATACATTTTCAGTGTTGTGTTTGATGTTTTATGTTTGCTT